ATCAACCGAAACATCTGAAGTTCCGCAGATCCTAGACAAGTCAACAGACCATTAATGATTTGTTCAGTTCCAATTAGCCACTTAGCCTGCCTCCAGTAGGTGATGTAAAATTCCGGAGGGTTTCGTCGGTATCCAAAAACAAGGGTGTAGGTGAAAGTTAGTGGATATAGCTGGTGACGATTATTTATTCTAAAACAATCGAAATTCTTTGACCCAGTCATATACCCGGTGCACCGCATCCACGCGCAATTTGAATAGACCATTTCAAATGTCTCGTAGATAATAATCTTGAGACAATGCCCTTAATGATGTGCTGAAATGGACTGGGACACTGCATAGAGACAGCGAAGTATCTGCTATTTCGGGATATCTCTAAGGAGGCCTATATAATTCAAAATGTTTCATGGAATACCATTAACGCACAGTTTACTGATAGGGTTTCTTTCATCGCTGCAAAATAATCTAAAGTGGATTGGAATAAACTTTAACCAGGCACAATTTACGTTGGCTCTAAATAGATTGAATATGATCAACTTTTGGTCTCAGAAGACCAACAGAAAACGCGCAAGTTGGGAGGGATGTAAAACATAACTTATGATTATTCTAAGTAAAGGGAAACAGTGGGAGAAAAGAAGCCATCGTTCGCGCTCCCGACACCGAACTGTGTACATATATGTAAGTATATAGTTATTGCTTTGGTGAAGCAGTTTCATTCTATGGGTGCAAACCTGTTTCAGTTTACCAACTCATAATTCTGACCAGAATGGAAAGAATATATTGGAAACAAATGAAATCTTCGGGCTGTTTCAACACGGTAAATATCATGGTAGTTATTGAACTGAATAAAAGCTTTTCACAGTTGGCAGTGATATTCATGAGTTGACTGTTGGAGACAAATATAAGTGAGTGCGATTTAGCCGGAAGTCCAAGGTCAGTCGCTCTGTCAACAGTCCAGAGAGTTTTATTGCACCTAAACCAGGCAAGCAATGATCAACTTTATACAGCCTAATGCAGATCTCCTGCACATTAGAAACGGTTGAATCTTGGCCGGCCAGATGAGAAGTGATAGATAACTTGGAGTTCGATTTACGTGTTTACATTTTCGCCGAATTCAACAAAATGCACAGAACGTCCCATAAAAGTTGAACCTTTCTATCCAATATTCAATCCACTCTGGGAATTTTCTCCGATCCTACCTGACATGTTTTATAACGGCGAATATATCATGACCGACAAAAAGATTCAATTGAACATGGAAACTGAGAGTGAGACTAGGCAATCTGTCTCGGAGGTGAGATTAATTAGCAGCAATTTGGTAGTAGCGGGTTGTTTGTACTGGCTTTCTCGGCTATCGTGTTACAGTGTTCGAGAGGGAGTCACATTTGGACGGTAAGCTAAGGATTGTAGACTTCTTCGCTTGATAAGTAGTTGTGGTTCTTGATTGGTGTTGTTTCCATACTCATCAAAGAAGGAGTTGCATAACAACCTCTTTAAAATATCTTGGGAGATTCGGAAGGATCCACCTTCAGCAAGCAGATTCATTTTGTCAAACATGTCAGATATCGAATCAAGCTCGCTTTTGTTTGAAAGGTGAAGCATCGTTAAAAATGAATCTATTGACAACTTTACGTTTGTTATTCTGGTCCGCCTACTGAACTGAAGTACTCCCTAGGTGTGCATTCCAGCGAAACCTAGTCAAATGAGCTTGGATGACACAAATCATTCGCAGATACGTAATAGGGGAACAAGACGGATGAATAGTTTCACTAGTGGGCGGTGCAATAAATTAGCTTCCGTCATCTATCGCCCACCAAGTGTAACTGCAACAGTTAAACGTAACCTTGTGCGTCAAACTGACTGGACCAACCGAGTTACAAGAATTGACCTCCAAGCCGCATAAATCGAGCAAAGTAGCATGAGATAAACTGAGTCTAGGTACGTCTAGATATTGAAAAGCCTTGGAGGGTCCACTGGATGATCACGATGACGTTCCAGCCTATGACTTTGTGGGCTATCTTGTTATTTCATCATGACACTTAAGGTCTTAAATACGTAGCTATTAATTTCCACACATTGAGACTACTGATATTGAGGCAGTAGTGGTGACCGCATACAGTGTATCAGATGCATTTGGAGATGAGGTAAGTGGGCAAGAACACTTCTATCATAAAGGGATACATATTAAGATAGATACACGAAGCTTCAGAAACTACAGTAAGGCTTTTTGAAGGCAATGCATTGCATAACACAATTTAGATACCACTTTGATGAAAACAAATTTTAAAAGGGTAGCTGATGGGAAATTGCGGAAATCTCTATTTTGTATCTCACCCGAACTCAATTTATCCACCAAGCGTACAAAATTTGCCTATAATATCAGAGATAAGCCTTATTAAGTTAACACTATTGCAGTTTTACCCTGGTTTTACAAAAATTGGCCTGAGTAACTTACGTTATTGGACGATAGCATAGTGAGGCTCAGGTGTATGAGCCAACACGAAAGGCAGTGCTCAGTTGCCCTCCATGATATTTCCATCCGAGCGTTCGATCAGCTTCAAACTTCTCGGTTAGGATTTCATGTGAAACCATTATCGGCTAAAAAATCCATAAGCACTTTGAAGTTGTTTAATCCCTATTGAGAATCGTCAGTTTTGTGCAACTCCCGAAACCTCAGGGTGTTTCAAAACCTTAACTTCTTGGTTGGTAGTCAGAAGCCTAACCCTTCGGCTACGAGCGGCTGATCAGCAGTGACGTTAACTCACACTTGGACAGGAGATGCTGCTGCTCATCCTTCATCACTCAAATTACATCACGTTGTTACCCCATTGACTGGCCTCTCGAGGGACGACTTCTCAGATGGAAGTTTCTTTAGTCTCATGATGTAATTTTTCCTGAGATACTTGTAGACAGGCGGTAGTGTGACGAGATTATGGAATTTTCAGCCAAGGTTAGCTTATAGGACGAATTTGTGACTGAAAATTCCAAACTTCCCACAAACTACCATCAGTCTGAAAATTGGTCTGGCGGGATAAGACGAGTGAGAATGGTTTAAATCTAAGAGAAGCGATAATGTTTGAAGTACTGTTGGAGCCAAATCAAAACCCAGTGACAGCGCTTTCCACTTCTTGTCCATTGATTTCGTTTTTGATTATCTTGGCTTTTGATTACAGCTCACTGAAAAACGTTAAGATGTCCTTGGGAGGAGATAGTTTCGCGAACGTCAGTGTAGCAAAGTTTCAGTCTCAAAATGGAACGAATTACACCGGGCCAATCAGCTCGATGCGATGAACGAAAATTCGCTAAATTAAGGCTGTGCACATGTTGAGTTAACCGATAGCCAATGATTGGTTCAGGGAGACATTGTGCTTCGCATAAAAATACACTTTAGATGCACTTATTGGGACATGGTTGTGGAGCATCGGATTCTACGATGTCAAAATGTCAGTGGTCACTAGTTGACACTTCCTGTTTGCGGTACGACTACCATGCTCACTGATAATCAAACTTTACTGTTTGAGCCTGTGATTGGATTGTTTATCCTTTGGAAGTGACTATCAACTCCCAGTCATCAATCTGCTGATCACTACTTATAAATTGCATGTGGTGCTTATGTGATTTGACCGGATTTCCTGTTTGTCTCTGACAGTTCCATCCATTAAAACTGACTTTCTTGCTTATGTGGTTACACAGAACTACGTTCACACAATGTAAAACGAAAAAGAATGCACTTCCAAAAGAGTGGGAGAAAAGGAAACACATTCAAAGCTTATATGTCGTTAACAGCTCCACAACATTCTTGAAATTGTTTGGTTTTATCAGGCCCCACTCGTGAAATACTTCAATTGGTTCAGTGTTATTTGCCGAAACGTTTGTATTTAAGCATTTATTGTGTATCTGTTTTCCACCATTTATTCATTTTTAGTGACTAGTGATTATACCGTGAGATGGCTGCTATTGACATTCATTTCAGTCATCTATTAGTCATTTGTTGAGCCATTAGCCGACAATGTATGCCTGGGAATGTTCCGTGTAGGTGTCCGATTGTCTTAGATTTATCTCGAGTGCCCCTACTTTCGAATGAGGTTTAGTTACCTGTAGTCATAATCTGGTTCATCCGGCACTTCTGTGAGATGTATTGGATCGTCCTGTTCGTCTTTAAATTGGTACCGGCAAGGCGGCTTCGAAGTGAGTGAGGAAGGCACATGATCCTGGGTGCACGTAAACCAGGAAGGATACACTTGTATTTGCGGCGAGGAATGAAGTTTTGCTTTCGTGGTTGTCACCTGGTCAGAGAGAACAGAAGAAAAGACATTTTAGGAATCGCGTTGGTGATGGTAATTCCATTGAATGAGGTTCAAATGGCCTAGCTACGCATGTTGCTTGTTTGAATATCGTGACTAATTTTTGCAGCTGATTCGGAGAATGATGGGAGAACTAAGCAGGAGAGTAATACCGTTTCTCGGAGGAGATTTTTAATAAGTGTGATTGTCATTCGCTCTGGAACACTTTTCCTCCCGGTTTCTTGTAGTGTGCAAAAACGAGACTCAAAGAATTAGAGGAAAGAGCTATCCATCACAACTTAAACTTTGACATATGCAGCTAGCCATTTTGTTTTCGCCACTCGTTGTGAAATAATGACTCCATAAAAGCCTTCCACGTTCCACTTGCAGACACCCATTTCGCTCTAAAGAGTAGTTAAAAAAAGAATGACAGTACAGTACAGCCAACTTGTCTTAACGGGAGGCCCATGCGTTTTCGTCCAGCTCCTCCTCAGGTAAGACATATTCGTCTTAAAAGCTATTTTCAGATGGCGAGGGTGCGTCTTCAAGCTTATCTATGTCGACATAATCGTTTTTCTGACCTTATACTTCATCATAAGTTTGATATATCGTTTTGCACTGCCGGAAGATACACAAAGGTACATTCAACACGGTACCCAGAGTTAACCCCATTGTAGAGGTTTCGAACGACTTGTCTTGTTTATCCATAACTTTCAGTCAATGATACCAGTATCCTTTATTCTTGGATTCTACGTCTCGCTGATATTTTCTCGGTTTTGGCACCAATATGTGGTGATTCCTTGGATCACAAAATTGTCCATGGGCCTGACCACCCATCTGCCTGGAAGTGGTGATCGGCAGCGCATGATAAGAAGGGCATGCGTTCGCTATCTTTTGGGAAGTATGATTCTGACGTTTACTCGCGTAAACTTGACAATTAAGAAGCGCTTCCCAGATTTTGATGCTTTTATAGCTGCAGGTAAGCTGATGATATACCATTTTTGAATATGTTAAAACACTTGTGATGATCAGCAAGTGCAGTTACTCAGATTTATAAGATTGGATAAAACGTCAACGGTTAGGTTTATAACGACGAATTTCTCCCCAAAGGTGAAACGTACCAAAAGTTGATGAACATGCTCACTTAACTTGGGTTTTGAGTACCACCTTAGCGTAAGACACTTGGATGGAAACTCTGTAGTGCATTGGTGCATACTTGGGAGTGTGTGGAGTCTGTCAGCGGTGTTCATACGGAAGACTGCCCACCCAAGCCACTGAATGCCGTCAGACATTCCACACAGGGCTTTGTTCAGAATCTGAAAGACGGAAGCGGTCACCCTTGAAGAAAGATTTACAGTAGGATAGGGCGCAACAAGTAGAGCAACAGAATTATGAAGATATTCACGACGAACCTAGGATACCTCTGACAAAACACTCAGTCATCTCAAAATTTTCTCAGGAAATTATGACCAGGAAAGCTAATTGAAGAATAGAATGTGTTGAGGCAAGCAGTGACAACCAATAGCATGACACCAAGAATCGATGATACCATATAGACCTCAGTCCCATGCATGACAATTATGGCTATATTTAATGAAGGATAGATGTGCGATAACGCGAATCAAGGCAGATGGACGGGACAGTTTCACCACAGATCCCCGTCCCGGATGATGGTACAACAACCTTGAAAGGAAGAAGGTGTCTGTGTGAGAGGGACTATTTCAACGACCAGGACTGGGTTAAGCTTTAGAGTTGAAGGAAATTCACGCTGGCCTCCGTTGCAGTGTCAAAACTACCAATAATAAAATGCGAGTGAAGGACAACCTACTTTCAAAACTCAAGAACAGATGATGTTATCAAGCCGCGAGGTGAAATCAGAGTATACGACAAACTGGGCACCGACTAGGATGAGAGCCAGGATTATCACTAAAAACGCATTGCGCAAAGATGTTAGATATTCAATAGGTAAGCAAATGTACGCAAGAACTTCTTTACAAGTTGGGAAATATTGAGTAACAGCTACATTCATGTTCGGTTCCCTTGGCAACCAAATTCGTTTTCAACCAGATAGGTGAGATAAAAGTAACAGACCATACAGAATTCAAACCATACAGGACCTCAACTCAGAGAACGAGGAGTGTCAGAAAACTGTGGTTGCCAGCCAACTCAAAATCGCAGAAGGCTAAAATACTGGCTAAAAGTTAGATACTATAGGACCTTCTTAGAACCCGAGAGACCTCGCTGCCACGGATTTCCCAGCAAGCAGGCACGAAAGATCTTCAGTGGTACGGAAAATCTGCTGACAGCCCAGTTTAAGAGGTTACCAAAATTATCTGACCAAATAAGTAGGTCAGTCTGTAGCCAATTAATTAATTATATCATCGAACGGTTATTGCTGTTTTCAGTAAACGACAAAATTTAGAAAAACCCGGAATCACAAGCAAACATCACAACCTGGATAATGTAGTAAGGCTGCGTGAAGGAAATAAATTCACATGTATATTTGTAATGCACTACTCATAAGGTTGCTGAAAACTCCTCGAATTAAATTCATGCCTCCCTGCAATGTTGAACGACCTGAAAATCTTTAACATTCTGCAGTGACTTGTACGTAAGCAGAAAATTAGCCCTCACTACAGGCTTGATAAATAATTTTGCTTGCGTTGGGTTATTTATCTCCATAGACGACTCGACTATCTTTTACCAAAAATGTCCATAGTTGTTTAATGGTATATCTCTATCATTCATGCATACATATTCAGTTGCATAACCCTTTTGGTACCTAGCTGCCATGCCACCCGGAGGAAGCACGAGGGCTTGGATACTGTCAGGTTGCCAAAGCTTAGATAGGGGAAATCAATAGGCAGAGGTCGGGTTCGAGCCACGAACCTTCCGGTCAGTAAATGCGCGCTCTAACCACTGAACCATCTCTTATCAGAACATAGGTTATATCTAATGCATTCTGGGCGTATCATTTTTTAAAGATCCCATGATAGTTCACCCGAGGAAGGGCTTTCATTCACTTAACACTTCAGTCTCATCGTCAGTTAAACTTTTTCGAAAGTTGATCAATAAAGATTGAAATGTATTTGGCATCCAGAGAATGACCAGCCTTTGCCCCACCGTTTCTCATGTCGTAGAACGATTCACGAGGACTGTAAACCACTGTAAAGGAAAAGTTCGCATGTCATAAAACCGCTCTTCACACCGCATTGGAAGGCAATCCAAAACAATCCCGTGACTGCGAGCTATTGCTCCGAAATTGTACAGAAATATGCATCATAGGATAGCAAGAATTGTTGCTCTCCTCTCGATTTCTACCGTGTAGCCAATCAGGCGTCTTGATTATCTTGTAGGTGTAATGCCCACTTGGCCCCTGACCTTTAGTCCGTACCACTTCTTGCTTGCTGTATAGGTCTGTTCACAGACGAAGAGGTCCGATTGCTCGAAGGGATGCAAATACACTTTCAGCCGTTTGCACCGGTCATGTGGGCTGTGTCGCTGCTCACAATGGCAGAGAAAGAACAGCTTATCACAAATCAACACACACTGGTTCAGCTAATTCAAGTGAGTCCAGTTTATGTGTGTCTAAGCCGAAGCGTTTTTGACACAGGAGCACAGCTAAGTATAGAACCGGAAGGCAAGTGGGAAAGCTTGATACCGCTTAGTCAGTCGCAATTTTCTTCAAACACTGACGCTGTGGGGGATTTTTCGTTTCAGTCGCCCTCATTTGTCTAATAGGTCTTGAATAGAATGAGCAACGAATAGAAGTCCATGACGAATCAGAAAGTCCAATGGGATGATTTAGGGTAAGGACTTGCTTGCTATTTCATCTACAGAGGGAAAATCTAATTACATTAATACAGACACAAGGAAAAAAGGATGAATTACTTCCATCCGAAATACCGAAACCTTAACAAGAGCATGCTGCTAGCATAGAAGAAAAAACCAAACTGTCTTTACGTTTACGTCTGTTTTTTTAAGAGTTCCGGATATGCTTACTCTGAAAAGACTTCCAGCATACACGTAATACACTACTCATGAGGTTGCTGAAAACTGCCAACGAACATAGGATCTAGGCTCGGGGACGACGCCAACCTAAAATCGGCAATGACCTGCTGTTGAGTTCTCGTTGTGCTTATAACTCCCACCGATTTTATTTGCAAAGATACTTCATTTCCTGAATATCCGTCCAACAAGACCCTCAGACGTCCTCTGCGTTGCACCCATTCACCCATATAGGTTTGCGAAGCGGCTTTGTTACAGAGAATAGACCGAATTCTTAGAATTCTACTCATCAAGGGTAGGGTATTTAGGTATCTATGACATGCTGCTAGTGTTTACAACAGACAGAAAATGAGCTTGTAGGATTAGTATACTAAATGCAGATCTGCTCACTACACCATTCACAGCACGCTTTTCTTTTCCCTCGTCGAACCCTGAGGTTGTTCTCGGAGTTTTATGGATGCACGTGGACACTAATCGCCTCATTGAGTCATTGATGGTAACACTCTTGGATATTATGCACAATACATTTTTTCGTGAATTTCCCCCTCTACTATCGTCTTCAATTCCTTTCTTCGTGCACGACACATGAAAAGTCAAGTCTCAAATTCTGGACAGTGCAATGAGCTTCGTAAGAATGGTCGGTGAGTTCCTAAAATAGTGGAACGGTCATATGGTGCGCTATTCGACAGTGGCTAGGGAAGGCAGTTGAGGCTCAAACCTCCAGAATTTCCTCAATTCCCACATAATAGGAAGACTCGAACAACTATAATATCCTTTTATTCTACGAGGCTGAAAATTGTAAACTTTGGGTGTACTTCAAAGTTGCATGTCCAAGTACGCGGCAAGGCTTCTGAGGATACCAGACGTAAAAACTTAAGCATGTTTTTTTCTTGGCAAGTGAATTTCGTCCCGACACAATCAATGATATTGGCAAAGGGTCCACCAAGGCTAGACGCGTGCGCTCTAAAATTCGCGGTAAACGTTGTAGGTAGCAAGATTTAACCTCGAGAGTGAAAAGGGAAGCCAATTCCTACAGGAAACGTAATACTTTGCTATTTGGGTAAAATAATATCTGGGAGGAAGCCAGGTTGTCACCGATGAATTCCAAGATTGAGTTTTTAGACACGGAATAAGAGCCAAGAGCGCACCCAATCGGCCTTCTTCAGTTCCATCTCATCTAAACCCATTTTTCCCATATTGCGCACCGCTTCCGTCGATTTATTTATTTGTTTATTAATTAATTAACTAATTTAGTTATGTACTTATTTAGTCAGCATTTCTACGCCTCCTATCAGGTAGGAGTCAGATACTACGCAGTCGGTAAATATGCGAGATTTTGAGGATAAACATACGATTTCGTAGGAATATGGCTCAAAAAGGTATCGTGTTACAGACAGAAATAAGATGAAGTTGCAAGTGGAAAAATTCCTACCGACAGATGCACAGGAGCAAAGTCGACTGATCTGCATACCCGTGGGTCGTGGGTTATGCACATCGTGCTATCGAGTATGGTTGATATTCACCAGCAAGAAATGCCTTGGAAATAACCTGACGGATGTTTTACTTTCATCCGTCAAAGAGAGACAAGCGGTCCATTAATCTCAATCTGCCAACTACATGTAGACAACGGTTTAACACCGGGTTTATTTAAGAGATTTCACCGAAAACGGAAAGGCCCTTAGTGAAATGGGCGAGTTGAGTACTTTCTTCAATCTGCTCTTATGCAAAGTATATGAGGATAAAGGGAGCCAAATGTCGGATGTTAGCTCACAAGTGACATGAAGGAATATGTGGGGAAGAAAATGGAAGAGCAACTGCTATCTTTTAATGGGAAAAGAGCTGTTCTGTACAGCCTATATGGTTTAGTGATCCACTGACATGATTTTAGTTAAACAGTAAGTCGTTTCATTTTCCCAAGTCATCAGGGTCACCACTTGATGTTCTTTGGGGTGGCACAGTTGGTGCAATGGGGAGGCTGGTTGGCTGGGAACGAGCACCAGAATCGTGGGTAAAGACTCGGAATAAGCACCTTAGGGCTAAGAGTTTGAATGAAGCTAAGGTTTTCCACAGTGATAAAATTTTCGTGTACAGCGCGTACGCGAATACGACGGTATTCATCTATTGGATTGGCTGACTTATTATCCAGACTTGGACACCATCGCAAACGTCTGGAAAGTCGTGACCAAATGAAAGTATGAACATTCGAGCTCCTTTCACACGACAAAAAGAAGAGCAAAAATTAGACAGACACTTGACACATCTAATACTTAACTATGTCACAACAGTGCATTTCAGGTAACCATAATACGGTACACAAGAGCGGTTCGCTCTACAACGAACTTCGAAGCAAGCACCAGACCAAACAAAACTCACTTAAATGAATATCCATCGCGCCCACAAGTGAGATCTGCCATCGCTTGTTGTTTGCGTTGGGTGCGAAATCCGAACTTGAACATAAGACGACTGAAACATCGTGATAGGTCCCAATCAGGACGAATCAAGACAGAATACCCCAGGTTTGGGCTAGTTAGTGGTCAGACCTTTACCTAACATGTTTTGGTTGTACTAGCCTCACAAACCAATGGCGTGTGGTGCGCTCTTCCCACGAGGTCCATAGTAAACCGCAGAAGTTCTGATGTATTCATTACATACGTGACTCATAAGGACCCGCTTTGGGTTTGTGTTCTTTGCTGAGAGACAAAGAAGATACGCCTTCATAATGGGTGACCATAATAGAATTTTGCACACTACAGCAGATATTTTTAACCCACGAACTTCCAAGTAGCAAATTTTTTGAACGTTTACATTGAAAGCAATAAACTGAGCATCTGTAATATGACACTGAATGCACGTTTTATTGAGTATACAACAACCCAGCAGTTGTCTTTAGCAATGTGTGATGAATGCGCCCCTGAATGACCTTTTTGTATCGAATATAAATATGAATCTCGAGAATTTCTGTTCAAAAACAGTGGACTTTTTTCTGAAATTTTTGGAAAATCAGTAAAGTCAACTGGGTAACTGTTTTTTGGGAAGAAAGTGTTTTGGAGTGGTTCATGTTTGTTCTGTGATACGATTTATGCTAAGACTAACCCTTGAATCCTGTAACCCTTGCCAATTTCAACAAGAGATAGTATTGTGGAGAAACTTACAATTAGTCGAGTTTTATGCATTGATGCATGATTAAGGATTATTTTCTTCCAGTAAAAAGTTTTGCTTTTGTTTTTTCGAACGAACCGTCGCAGGATGTGAACAGCTTTCGCCAGGGCCTGCTGAATATATTCTTTATGGACTACGTCTGCGTCCCGCTGGTGTACACTCAAGTGAGTTGTCTTGATCACTCCTCTAACTGATGTCCCTGAATTAGTCTGCGCTTCATGAATTATCTGTGGTTATCAAAATTCTCGTTTAGAATGCAAGTATGCCGATTAATGAGGGTGAATAGTAAACGAACTTGCAACCTGGTAATCGTGTGATGGAGTCATTCTATAGCAAGTAATTTTATTGAAAAGAGTTATCTTGGATTCAGTACTTACTTATCTACGCAAACATTTATGGACATGGTACCCCCCGAGAGTTGGTATTTGGATTAGTTTTCACAACCATCCAACAGCCTGCATTAACATGTGTCCTCACGTGGCCAACTAGTTTCGGGCCTCAGCTTGATATGTCCTCATCTCGCTCCACTCGATCTTTCAAATAAGTGCACATTTTGAATTTATAATAGGACACTATCAGGTCACTGGGTCATATTAATCAACTGAAATCCCGCGAGCCATCTAAATGTAAGCCACGTTTCGAATAATTAGTCTGTGTTCTCACCTCAAACCTCGTATCACTCGGATGAAACTGTTGTTGCGGTCAGCGTACGCTCTCTTCATCGCCATGCTTAATGGACAAAACACACCTCAACCTGCAGCCTGCAGGTTGAAATGTTTTGTAACTGAGTGCTCTTTATGTAGGATCAGCTGGTTTTACGAAGTTCACCAACAGAAGATTAAGAGAATAAGCTTCTTTGTGTTAAATTTAAAGTTTGAACTAAACGAGAAATGGCCCAATACACTTCTTTATGAAAGGAGGTCAGTGTGTGTGTGAATCAGTTGCAATGTCAGCTTGTTATTTAACGCGGGCGTATATAAACAGAATTATTTTTTCGTATATTCACATTTGTGGAAATTATTTACAAATACATAATAATGAAAGGGCTACAAACGTGGTGTGAAATGAACACTTCTCACGCCTATTAGCTCAACTGCGCGAAAGTCATTCTGCTATAAACTATTTGCTGTTTTACCATCCGATAGGGGTTAAAAACAGGTCAGAAGGCCAACATCGATTGCTTGTGAGGATAAATAGAAGCATCTAAAATCTGGAAGTCTACGAAATATTGTGAAAAATATCTTCAACTCTCTACTTTATTGTTTCAACATTTTTGGTTGTGCAATGAAGCCGTCCTACCTTCTGCGGGCGGGTTTTTAATGCGATTCATATTTGAGCTGAATGCAGGCCAGAAGTCACGTTTTAGTGCTGACCATAGGAACTTTATATATTCATTGGAGTACTAGTACACTAGTGCTGTCCGCCACAGAAAAAATCTAATGACGTAGCCAGCAAGTTGCCTTAAATTGGGTTTGTTTTGGACAGGGAGTGAATCAGTAAGCAATGCCATTTCGATCCGTTTTGATGATCTACTGCAGGTTACATTGTCGAATTGTTTCGCGATAGTTCTGATGATGGGTCGCTTACTGGGGTGACCGCCCGCTTGACTGCAACCGGGTAAAGATGAGTGCTAACCCATCTGGCAAGTGAAACCTGACTGAGTCGATTCGCCTGTCATGTCCAGCAGACGTCCACCGTCTTAGCTCACCTGCAGTTTTGAAATAAGTTAGCTCAAGCAGACCCAGTGAATGATTTACCTTTTCCAGTACACAGGATACGATTTCCCTGGGAAGACAACCAATGCGGTAGATCGACCATGGGAAGCAAACGTGAGTGAACCAGCCTACTGACCAACCTTCCTTCCAGGTCGAAATCCCCTTTCGCTTAAATGGCTCGCTGGGTGTAACGGATATACGAGAAGATCTGTCGAAATATTTACAGCCATTCTCTCTTGAAGAGAATCTGCTACAGAGAAATCCACACTAAACAGGAAGCTTATTTTCGGTTCCAGTTGTGCGTTAGTGAATTTCCCTTCGAGATTTCCCGCCTGGGGCAAGTTAGTTTATTGCTAACAAGTGTACGGCAGTAAAGCATCGGTGTTGAACACTGATGTCATGCTGTCGATGATGATGATGATGATGCTAGCAAGAGATGGTTCAAGTTAAGTAAACTGACTGAGCAGGACCAATGTCATTCGCAAAGATCACATTAGCCCTACTGCCTAAATAACTATACAGAATTGCAGTCACTCCAGGGCTTGCGGAATCTTCATTTCAGTAAGAAGCACTTCCTAAAGGAGGCACTCGAATCTGCCAATCGGACCAGTCCTGAAGACAAGTTACACTCAAAACCAAATTGTTCTGCGGATATCATCGAGGGAATACATGGAAGAGACAGAAGGAAGTTTGTTTGGTTTACCACCAGTCGGAGACCAGTATCGAGTGGACAAACATAGGTTCAAAGGTATCCGGCTTTGTGGGCCCGGTTCAGGCCACAAAGCAGATAATGCGTTGAGTACTGATTCGAGAACAAAGAATCGGGTGTCACATGCTGGTGACCATCGTTAAAACCACCAAAATGTTTATACGTATCCTAAATAATCGACTTTCAACTCTCTGAGCTATCTGTCCAGCAGATCTTGATTTTATCGATTTTTTTAACTGAATTCGTAGATCATCGGTCAATTAGACTACCAATTCATCAACCTGGCTTTTATTGAAAATTAGTGGGCTACTTTTTGGTAGCCCACACACACATACTATTATCCTAGTATTGTCCGTCACCACAAACCGACAAAATGCAGTGAAACTAACGATGCGCCATAGTGACTGCATTGATGGGAGCCCGTAAATTTGTTTGTGGCGATCTTGTACTGTATTCACATACAACTGAGGCGCACCTGTTTGTTGCACTTGTTCGTTCTGAAACAAAAAACAATTTTGTAAGTTAGTTTACAGCCGGCATTTCGCATCCCAGTTCCAATAATAGGGAACTGGCAAACGAACAACGAACTTCAGGTGGCTTACATCCCTGAACGGCAAACGAACAAACTCTCGGCATCGTGATGAACTTACCTTGACGTGTCTTGACTTGCAAGATTTAGCACAGATTCTACCAAAGCTAACAGCGCGAGACAATCAAATGGAAATAGTGACAGTTTTCAGAAGGCCGAGTAAAAACGAGAGGAATAGGCACTTTTAGGTCCTGTAAATTAACGAGCACAGTATAAAAGTTATGAAAGACCAAGAAAAGAGGAAGCTTGACAGTGTGTAAGCGGACGAGGCTTCAGTGAGCTGGGGATCTTCCCTCCGTAGCCCATCAATTAGGTCAAGGTAAACCAAAAGAAAGTCCAGTAAGCCGGCCAGTAAAGACTACTGGATAAACATAAGCCCAGGCTAAGTACTTTCAAAGAAAAGGAGTAATGACGGGGTATGTGGATGGGCAAGGGAATATGGCTTCTTCCGGTTAAATTTCATGAATGAAATTTCATGAATTGGTAATATCCGTGTTGGAGCTGACGTTCGAAATGGAGTGATCCTTGGGGAAAACGATAGATGCGTGGTATAAGAAAGTGGACAATACTGGGTAGCATTTTCTTCAAATGCGTGAATAAGGGGGTGTTGTGGAAGGAAGTAAAAATTGGTTTGGAATAGTTATGGGTGTTTAGGGAATGTCAGAATTGATTTCTAGATCGCTGGGAGGAGCACTGAGGATGTCAGACGCTGCTGATCACTTGAATGCGATACTATCAGTTCAGGAGGCCGCCCTTGGTCGCAGGCTGAAAGTTTTGCCAGGAAGTTTTCGTGCCAAAATGATCAAAACACCCAGATGAGTCTAGAGTTATCATCCAACGGGTTTAAAATAGAATAACAGGACCCTGATATATAGGCTTATGAACCAACTGTCAATCGTTTTACGCATACATACTGGTGATTACCGAGAGTTTGATAGCATTTGCCGGTGAGTACTAGCTGGCAAATTCCATTATCATACGAAGCTCGTCAGAGTTTCACGTATGAACTAAAACAAGGTTGCCTGTTTGACAACGCTGCAGTCAGGCTATTGATTCCTATAATCCTTTGAATTTTTCACTAACGGTTGCTTCGCGAGCGTGTCAGTGTGAAACTACAAGCAAGGAGATTTTAAAGGCTGAAGAGTTCTGTCAGTCGGATAGCGGCTTCAAAGAAATCGGCTTGAGGTAAGGAAAATTCCAGATTTTAATAATTATATCATGGAATGGGCATCGGTAGCATGGCTAATAAAGCATTCTTTACAGCACTTAAATGAAGTGGTTTAGAGTATTTATAGGTGCCGACAGAAGTGTATACTAGAAAAAGGCAGACGTGATCGAAGAAGGCCCACACGACTGTGAGATGGAGAGGCTGTTTTTACACTACGTGAAGTTGATAAAGTATTTCTAAATGAACTCGAATGAATAGGATTCACTTCCTCTAATGGGGCTTGTGATAAGGAAGCCCATATTTTAGCCTGTAAACTGAGAGCTTGGTTATCGACTACTAATCGCTGAATAGGGAGCCAAGTGACAACCCAAAGTCGCAGTCAGTGGAAGGGGGTCACTTGCCCATCGAAAGACTGGACTGCTTCAAGCAGAAAACTGGGTGCTCAACATCTAACATCATTCATTTAGCTTTTAGACCCATTGTCTGCTTGTTTTATGGGACTAAAAAATCCGTTGGCAGAGCTGTGAAAGGGCTACCTAAACTCAATGACAGAACGGACTTATAAGACAATGAAAGATTCTCGAGATTAACTCTGGTTCAAACCAAAAATTGAGGGTCTTTGACTGCACAATGTGCAGCAACATAACCAGGCTGCTCAAATACACTATATGTACGATCGTAATCGCTCTTTTGATGATGAGAATAGAACACTTAGAATAAATCTAATCTAATCGTTTTGCTTTAGCACCCTTCCGGTGCCTAGCTGCCATGACACACGAATGAGGCACGAGGGCTGCTGTCAGGTCGCCCAAGCATAGACAGGGGTGGTCGAGAGGTAGGAGTCGGGTTCGAACCACGAACCTCCCGGTCAGTAAATTCGCGCTCTAACCACTTGGTCCATCTCGCCCCACACTTAGAAAAGCCACCGATGTGACGAATAAAATCTAATCGCGGGTAAAACTCCTCGAGCCCAGGTATTTTCTTCAAAATTTTCAAAGTATTGTGTCATTAATATCATCCAAAGGGAACGTCTTATTAAACTTTCTCCTAATTTGCACTCGAAATTCACAGGTTGTTACGCTGTCCGTGTATTCCTACCTGGTAGCGTCTCTGATCGGCAGGCAATACATAATGAACAGTTCCCCTTTGATCGACAATACCACTTCGAAGGACTTCTACTTTCCTTTCTTCACACTGCTTGAGCTTGTGATATATGTTGGATGGCTGAAGGTAAGTCCACTACATGATTTCCGCGGGAACTCGTCAGTAATGCACTTGTGGTGCACAGATAGAATATGTAGCACTGAAATGTCATAGGGAAGCCCCCTTAGTTCTTTCCTCAGAGTGTCACATTTAATCATTGTTTTGAACGGGTTTTAGCTGAGAAATATTGCCTCTAAAAAGCAGTTCCCAAAAGTCACCGAGCCTTAAACGAGCCTTGGATATATCCAGAGATCTCTTCTTGGGGTTTGAACAAAATTTATGACAGTCAATAGTTTAAGGAGGAAACCTAAAAATCATCGTGCTCATGTCCTAGAAGAATTCCAACTCTTTTGTTTCCCGGTTAAATGGCAGTCCGTGTAGGAAAACTCAGCAAAGAAATTGCCGAATCAAGTGAACAACATGAATGCCACAACCCAGCGACCATATTGATCAAGGCCGTTTAGAAGAAGTCGTGTTTTTATGGGAAGTTGGCAGCTGGGTGTTTGTTGACGTGGTACTAGTTTGTGTAGTGATTACATTCAAGCCCAGTTTAATCAAGCTTCCACAGTCGTAGGAAACCCGACCCCCCAGGTTGCACTATAGCTCAGCACATGATATCCCAAGTGCGTCGGACATGGTTCGCCCTACGATTGTTTGGCCAGCTCTTCATCTTGAAGTTCAGTATTTCTATTCAAAATGGTTTCAGACTTGACAATATCTTAGAAGCCAACTCAGGAATGGAACTTACAGGACAGGCTAGTCTGTGTATGTTAGTTTCTATATGTGTACTTCACCTTGAAAATTGTTGCATCATTAGAAACTGCACACCTTATAACTGTCTGGTGCATCGTTAGCTCCTAGGAAAAACAGAGTTGTAAACGGTAAGTGAAATGTATTTGATTACTATTGTCTTCAGCTTGCCCCACTTTTATTGAAACACCCGAGGCAATCATTAGCCGATGCAGGCATGGTGGTAGACATTGCAGTTACTGAGTAATTTTTCCGTTTTCTGAGTGCCCTGAGGGGATTTTCGTTGGGATAAACTTTGTTTGAACTCCAAGATTCTCTGGCCAATACAATTGTCACTGTGGTTTTCTGAAATGAGTTGCCATGATTAGCATAGAAACCACGGCTAAGTCTGTAGCAAACAAACTGACTGTTGAGCCAAAGACAGAGCATCATTTGTATGTAATTTTTAGATTCAAAAACAGGCAGACCGCTTAGAGACATCCCAGTAACCCTCTGGAACCAACTCTTTAGAACCAGTTGTTTTAGTTGGGGAGTTTAAAAACCTCGCACCATTCTTGGAACTCGGTGCGCCTTTAAAAATAAAGTCGTTTGCATCATATGTTCCTGCATCCCTCACTTTTGACATGAGCATTCGACTTCATGAATCCTACGTGTACACCTTTTCGGTGTACCAAACGTGTTTGAAGGAAGTAGTCTCTGTCTTAATTTCAAGCAGCCTCTCCATGATCTGATAAAAACAACAGGCAGGGCAAGGCTGTGGGCTTGGGACGGAGCTCAATTCTATTCAAGCTTGAAGCCGTATCTTCAACTTAACCTTAATGAGATCCGTTGAGCTGTGTATAATATTCTTCACCCAAACGACTGAAAACAAGAAGCACATGAATAAACCACTTTCCTTATCACTTAGTTTATGACTTTTGAAAGATAACAAGAACGAATGCTTCCACGAGCATGTGATTGGCGTTTTGGAAGTCGACAGGGCATATCCCAACCGTCAGCGCTGTCAGGATCCCAAAAGCATTTTTGTTCCTTTTTGTTTGTAATCTAATTGACGAAGAACGAATCTAACACTAGATTCACCAAACCGGGCTTCTTTGTCACAGCCTACGCTAACGATCTGTTCTTAACGCTACATATTTCACCGATAAACCTTTGAATTTCCTTGAGAAGTACTAAGAATTGTACATCTAACAAAACGTGAAGTCATATTACCCGTGTTTACATTCGTAGTATTCTTGGTTGGAAGTTGGCTGCATCCCAAATATTTGCCAAATTTTTCTATACATCTGTTTTAAAAAGAACATTAAAACTGCATGTAGCTAATGACCAATGCAGAATTCAAACAGCAATCTGTTCTCTTTAACAAGATTTTTTGATATTATTTGTTAGCTGGGCTTTTTTGATGACAGCAACAGGCCCTGAATGTAGGCTTATCCATGATCGTGAATATCAGAAGCATAGTGCTTGATGAGATCGCATTCACATGTTAGTGGGGCGTGACTATATCAGTCTTCTTGAATTACAGCCGTTTTTCTTATTGCCTTACTAAAGGTGGTACGGCTGGTTCAGCTATTTCAAATGGCCTTGTGAAATCAAACGCATACGGGAACGTAACAGCTACACGACCAAGATATGAGAAGAAGAAAGTTATATAGGGACACTTGTAGCGGGTTTTACACAACGCGCTATCTGAAACTGCGGACTGATGTTGTAAACCTCACAAACTATGGGCTGGAACCAGATATAAACAGCAAAGTATCGTTGAACTTGTCTCACTTTCCCCTCTTACAACTATCGTCTTGTATTTTTGCAGCACTGACTCTACACACTGTCAGATGTTTAGCTGGAAAATTGTTTTCACTGGTTTCAAAAGAAATTATCTTTTAGTTTTCGAAAATTGATGGCCATATCTTCAATATTTGGAGGGAATTCAAAATTCTATATGTCCAGAAGTGCGTACATTTACTACATTCTGCAAGATAGTTTCAGGCGTACTAGTCTAATGAGTTCAACTCAACCTAGCACTCGTTTTTTTCCGGAGCTTCCAGACAGCCAAAAATATGGATGGAAAAGGAAGAATAAGCGCCAAGAATAACGAGGAAGATCTTCCACTAGTCAACCACACTGACCACCCAGTTGTTTGTTTGTTTGTTTGGCTGCACGTACACTGAACTGAGAGTAGCACCTATGAGGCGATGAATTTTTACGTTGAGAACTCTGATTGGGTTCTGCAAAGCCCATGACCGATAACTAATTGTATGGTTGGGACAACTGCATACAACTTTGCTATGGCTGGATGGAACGCCTAGGAAAATAAAAGAGCACCGTTATCATCACGAGTTTTGTTGGTGCTTGGTGACAGAATGCACAAGCGGAAGCTTCCAAATGTTATGCTGTTTATAGGGGCTGTGTGATTCTTAAACCTGCATTAATTTCTTGAATAGTTTGTTTGTATAATTGCTGGTTCCGTCGCCTACTTGTGCGTGATAGATGAGAATTTGTGCGCGCGCGTGAGCCAAATATTAGTTGCAGAGTATACTACTTATGACCGAACAAAACCTACATGTAATATGACAAGTAGATAGTTTGTATCAAAATGTTTGTCTGGGGAGCGATAGAAGGTTGATTATGATAGCACTCATCACCATTGTGATAGCATTCCTAGTTAGCCATGTTTTCGGAACTTAGCATCATAAACTCTTGTTTGAAATACAGCGATGTGCTGTTCCATTCTTCTTGTTTTCAAACGGGCAGTCCTTTCCCTAGATTGTCCACTTGTCATCGAGGAAGTTTTTATTGCATAGATGGATAAAACGGCAATCAATCTTGAAGGACAAAGAAATGCTTTAGTGACTTTGGGCCTATTACTACTCAAAAGCTAGCGCCTTTCTCGGAGATGAAGAATGGAATTCGATTCCAACTTATTGAGCCAGGATTTTCAAAAGCCAAATTTCGCTCCATTGGGTATCTCTGATTTGCATTTCTACTGGTTAAGAGAAAAGGGCCTTTGCGGCGGAGTTACATATTGGAAAATGCCAACTGAACAGTCACAGACTATTGGACAGGGAAGCAAAACTCTCATATGTTTACAAAAACTGAATATCCACCTTCTCTTTGAACGCGTCTTTCTGAACTTTCCTAGATATTTATTGACTGTTGCCCAAACCCAAGCAAATGCTACAAAGTGACTCCACAAATTCCTTAATAGATCTCACTTTTCAAGAGACACAAAGCGGATTTACGAGAAAACATGCTACTCACATGCCCTACCATCAGTAGTATCACCATTGCACTAGTATCTAGAAAACTTTTCCAATGGACTTCCCATACAAAGGATTGGGTCTATAGTCGGTGTGTCATACGAGATGGTTTCAACGGTGGTCAGTCCAAATTTGCCAGTCAACGCTAGGAAGAACTTAAACTTTTGCGACTCCGTTCGTTTGATATGGGTCGTTTGTGGAAGCAGTAATTCAGCTAAATCGCCATGGTCTATGGACAATCAAGTTGTGAGGGATAAAGTATTCCCATCCTTTGGAAATAAAGTTAAATAGGTCAAAAATACATTGTCCAACCGATGTAAGGCTACGAAATCCTTTGGGAATGCATAAAACAAATCAGCATGTGGTATTCCAGCTTGGTTATGGTGATACTCATTAGGCTAACTAAGGTCGTTTCCAAACAACACTGGTTGTCAAGGTGAGGAAAATGAACCAGAAAGAAAGCGCACACACATGGGTACTAGTTTCGTTACCAAACCATAAAAACTAACGAAATAAGCAGCTGGAACATGTCAGTTAAGATCTAGTGAGGAACACTCCATCATCATTTATAGGGGATATGATGGCTCAATCAACATTAGAAAACTTGACTGTTGCACTGACACAAACATACTCTACCTCTGCGCTTCGTTTATACTTTACTGCCACACCGATTTTTCGTTTCCATTATAAGGAAAAAGGTGTTTGAGTTGACAGCTTCTCTCTGTGTTTGCTCCTTTACTTATTCGCGCGGAATAATTTATATCGACCCAATGATCAGATGCCTGTCTGAACGCACCAAGTAGTGTTGTGACGCATGGTTTCGTAGGACTTATCAGGTCCCTAGACGGCCCTGTATCTACTTATCTCGTTGAATCAAATGATGTGGTCAGGTTTTCTGCCTAATTCTAACCTGCATACCGTGAACAAAGTTCAGCCACTGTTGAGGCATTAGCCATTTGCATAATTATAATGTAGCCGATGAGAACAAGTGAAGGTCATGCTCTACTGAGGCAAGTGTTAAGAATGCGAGGAAGACCGGGAAGTAGACTGAACAACCAAATGGCTACTGAAATACACCCGTTTACAAACTAATTTAGTTTTGCGAGAGACTTACCTGGACCTAAGCTGAATCTCTCGTTTGTGATGTTTCCAGGCAAATGAAAGTGCTACGCCAGGCCGCCTCATGTTTCAGTCGCTACGATAGTCAAGGGATCGCGATACATGTATATTCATAATGCACTACTCATAGGGTTGCTGAAAATTCGTCGACAACTCACGACCGGTTTCACCCTTCTTGGGGCTCATCAGGTAGGGGCAGCCCCCGGGTTTCAGGTGAGACTGAAACATGAGGCGGCTTGGTGCAGCAAATTCAGTTGTCTGGAAACATCACAAACGAGAGATTCAGCTTAGGTCCAGGTAAGTCTCTCGCAAAACTAAATTAGTTTGTAAACGGGTGTATTTCAGTAGCCATTTGGTTGTTCAGTCTACTTCCCGGTCTTCCTCGCATTCTTAACACTTGCCTCAGTAGAGCATGACCTTCACTTGTTCTCATCGGCTACATTATAATTATTGATTTTGAGCTGCTTAATTTGTAATCCGCCATGCCTTCGCAACGGACAAACAAACGGGCCCTGTACCTGTTTTGTTTTCTTTTCTCCGTGACAATCGATGACATACAGAATTGACCGTATTTAGCTCAACTGCTGTCATCTAAACTGACATGTTTGCCATATGTTGCTTTATCTAACGTAAGGCTGTTGTAAACTACCAACCAGGGGCTAAACTATCGTCGGAAAGTGGGGCTGCAGGAATTTCCACGTGCTTTTCCTTGCAGGCACAACCGACCAACCACTCAGTGTTCAACCATTGGCCGGGGTTCGTGAGATTCAAAATGCTGATGATTTCCAGCAGATCAGCATAGATGGGCTCCACTGACAAGACGAAATCTCTATTGAACATCTGTAGACCATCTGCATCCCAGCCAATCCCTCTGGGTCCTCATCGGTAAAAGTAAACTGGATTATTCTGCCTACAAAAGTCCAACCAAACCCTCCCCACAACTTCCACCTAGTTCCACAAAAGTTCCATCAAAATTCAATGTAGGCGACTAGGGCTTCATCCAGCATAACAACTAACTGCTCTTAGACCGATTCTCAATGCACTTCAGTCTTCAAGATGAATGCAAGTAGATCATCATGATTATTCCAAGCGTAGAGGAAAAGCGGAATGTCGACGATGCAGACTGGGTTCATCCAGTTTAGAACCTCGTTCGTCTGTTTTATCAGCATACGTGAATATGAGGCAAAATACTAAGCCTCGGATAAAGGAGGCATGATAGCTGACCCAATTACCGACGTTGGTCTGTCATGAAACTTAGTTTTGCTAGTTTATCGTAGATGGCACGTTTCACGTGAAAAAAATGCCAGAACGGCCAACCGACTAACTCAACGGAAGAGGGAAAAGTGGAGAAAATCATGCAACAACTTGAAGAATATCCCATATTGGCAACTTCAGTTATCAATGTTTTGTGAGAAACTGAGCATTTAAGTCCCATCTTTTCTGACTATTTTGCGATGAGTGCATTATCTAAAGTATGAAATAAGGAGGAAATAATATAGAATACAAACGTACAACATTCTTCATTATACAGTACTTTAAAATACATTTGGTATTTGAATTGGAAGCCGTTCAGATGTCCCATAAAATTAGGCGTTTTTGGTCGATCTCCTCGAACAAGTACAAAATACATTTGGTATTTGAATTGGAAGCCGTTCAGATGTCCCATAAAATTAGGCGTTTTTGGTCGATCTCCTCGAACAAGTACCGTCCTGTAGGGGACCCACTACTGCTCTCTACTGGAAAGATCACTGTACTCACCATTTGCTCTGCTGCACTGCTCGAAGCTGTGTCCCAGTACCATGCAGGTTATTCGTCTGAGGAAAACAGACCGGGTGGGTTTCACTTGGTAAATCTGAAGGTATGAACATTTCAAGCTATAACGCTTTTTCCATGTTTTTCTAACCGTTTGGGAAACCCGCAGCTGCTGAATAGAGAGTGAGTGTGGACAGCATTTGATGTATCTATTAAGCTTAAAAATCATCTTGAGGGACGAGCAACAAGAAGATGACCAAACTAAGTGGAAACTTGAACAACCCAAACGCACGACGCTACCCATACTTAGAAGCACAAATAATGTCGAAAACTTTCCAATTTAAAGACCGGTGTTTAATGTCCGATAGCAGCAAACATATGGTGCAAGGATAAAATTTGTCATGCACTACTCATAAGGTTGCTGAAAACTTCTCGACAGCCCACGACCGGTTTCGCCGTTCTTGGGGCTCATCGGGTAGGCGCAGTATGAGTAGTGCATTACAAAATATATATGTATCGCGATATCTCGAATATCGTAGCGACTGAAACATGAGGCAGCCTGGTGCAGCACATTCAGTTGTCTGGAAACATCAAAAGCGAGGGATTCAGCTGGGTTCCAGATGAGTCTTTTGAAAAACCAAATTAGTTGGCAAATGAGTGTATATTCGATAAAATTTCTCTTTTCAACTTGGATTCTTTCATAGCTTGTGTTCAGGCGATTCACTGTATCGATTTATTCTTGTGCCAGGTTCAAAAATATCATACTAAGACTTTAACTTGGTTTTATCACAACTTTTACACCAGGTTGCTGAGACTCTGCTTAATCCGATGGGAGAAGATGACGAAGATTTGGATGTCGATTCAATAATCAACTCCAACTGGCGAGTGAGTTTCTCTGTCTGTTCTAAGGCAATCGATCGACCAAACGATTGATTTTATGAAGACATCCAATGAGTGGCCTACGGAGGACCACATTCCAACCAGTAAAAAGGGTAGATCAAAAACTTAGACATTTGACAGAAAATATCCACTTTTTGTGTGATTGTAACATGTTTTGCTCAAGCTCAGAGCTGTCAAAAAGCCCTATTCAATTTAATCAAGTAGGATCACTTCATCAGAATTCAGGAAACTTCAAACACATTGAATAAATTAAGACACACGGTGCCGGCTCGTCTGATGTTTACCTTTTCGTAGCCCACACGGGATACATCTCTTCGTGCATTTCTCAATTCAGCTTTCGTTTGATCGCTTGTAATTTTGGTTAATTTAGTGAAAGTACAGGAAGCAGGTTCGCTTTTATATCCGTTGGTGTAGACAAAGGCAAGGACACTAAATTCGTGCTTTCCTATTACAGATGGCCTGGTGTATTGTGGACGGTATGAAAACGAGTCCACCGGCAGTACTCCGTGATGCTCACTGGGCAGAGGCTATCGTGGAGTTGCCTCATACAGAAGAATCAAAGAAACTTGGTTCTACGCCCTATAGGGGCTCCGTTTATGAAATCAGGTATTTCTTATTCAATGTGCTCATTATCACCTAGTTGGGAATCGGTTTTGCCCTATTATTTTATTGTATTACAAGTTATAGTTGTGACAAACGACTGTACAGTTTCAGAAAATGAGTAATAAAAGAAAATTCCATCAATCAAATAAAAAAACCTGAGTTTAACTTTCCAGAGAAGCGTCTTTGGTAGGAGGAGCAGGCACGGTAGTAAAATGAATAGATGTTACCTAGTTCACCAGCCGTTCTGCCTTCTGCGGAAAGCCTAAAAAATGTGACTTGGGTAAAACTATCCACAGCTGTTTTTGTCTAATGTACTCTTGGGATAACGAACCACTAAAGTATGCTAATTTATGTGCTATCCGGTGACTTACTATGTGTTTTGTTGTCCACTTATTTTAGCACATGAGCCCCATGATTCTTTGATCGTATTGACACCTGTTGGTCGAATGTTTAAAGCAAACTGTTAACAGACAGCTAATCAACGATAACATTTACTAGATAACCAAGGCTAAGAATAACAAAGTTCTTGTTCCAGCTTGATATGTCAACTGAGCACGCCTATGTTCAAGGTTTTCTTTTATATTCCTTCATTCCAGTGCACAACCGCGTACCAATCGTCTTGGGTCCATAATATCAAAAATAGGTTTTGGATCGTCGCAGGTAAGAATTTTTGATAATTCGTTATCGAGATAAGAAGTCCGAAAGAGAACATATTCTTGTGGGCTTATTCGAACCACAGACATCCCGCTTACCGGTACAGGTGTGACGGATCAGATGTGAAATTCAGGTTCATGAGCGTCACTTAGGGCGAGCGTCATAGCTACTTCAGTCAGTACGGCATCTGTCAGGTTAGTAGTGGTTCAAGTTCACCTCCGAGCGTGACCTTTTCGTTTATACTACAAACAATTGATCTGCCATGTCAGCACTTGCCAAACGCCGCTCTACTTTCTACTGACAGATCAGTGTGAAGCTTGTATCTCAGCTTTTATCAGTACACAACATAAATTTTTGACGAATGAAAACAGTAACTGTGGGGTTTGCTCATTATTCATTATTTATTGTGAATCTGTCACATAATCTCTGCTATACACAGTTGCCTTGGCGACATAGTGTCTTGGTACATTCACAGCAAATATATATCACTCACTGAGTTCATCATAAAAGTAAGTGTAGATTCTACTATCTTGAAAGAAAGTTAAGGAAAGCTGATCGATGGACCACTACTCGTTCGGTCCTTCCTGGAACTCATCAGATAAGCGTGGTCTCTAAGTTTCCATCAAGCTTACGTTCTACTCAGAGTTAAAACTGCACGCAATGGGCAAAATACACTCATTAACCATTACATTGGAGTTAACAAGATTCACTTAAATTACTCATTAATGGTATTATGGTATTACCCAACTGAATCTGCAGCAAAAGTGTCACCCACGTTTCTATTGACACAACATCCACAGTATATTTTCTTGGCGGAACACACTAGTCTCAACGTTGCTGAGAGCTCTCAGAATATCATTGTGACTGAAAATTTAGATGGCCTTTGTCTAACACGTACGGTTGCCAATGGTGCTGTTGCAATTCGCAAATCGGTGTATAAGATCTATTACCTTTAACCCCTAGATCCAACTCCATCTACTTGTTATTCGAACTNTATATATATATATATATATATATATAAAGCAGTAAGATTGAAGAAGCTAGATGGTGTTGTACAATTTGTAGGTACCCTGTTCACTTTCGAGAACAGATCAGGTACTCTCATCGCTTAGTGGGGGATGAACAGCTTTTATTGTAAGGTAACAATGTGGAAATTACTTATGAATACGGGACCCAATAGAAACTTTGTTTAGTTTCCTCAGGGGTCTTCTCCATGTCTACGACAAGTCTCTTCAAATTCTAACTAAGCTGACCTGAATCCACTTAAGTGCAACAAAATTTCCGGACCAGGTATGTCGGAATTTCTCCGTTGTTCAAATCAGCCTCTGGAAAACTCAATGCTGTTTAAATGGGGCCACTTAATCCAGGGTGTAATAAGAATTTTGTTTGTCATCGTATCAGCACTTGTAAATGGGCATAAAACGAGATCAAAAATTAGGAAAGTTTTCCTTTTAAGCTAACATATACGATGCTACCACAACCTTACTACTAAAGTACGCAACGTTTGTGGACTTTTTCGGATTAATCAACCGTGAAAGGCAGAACTCATGCAGATAAATTCTTGTCATTGAAAAGGAAATAGATGAAGTGAACCAAACTAGACTGGAGACCTTTTTTCGACCTGGATTCTAGAGAACTTATCCAGATAATGAATTATTATAAAGACGAATCTGATAACTTCCTCTGATGGGAGGAAGAACTGAGGACAAATGGCCATTGTTTAGAATGAGACTGGGTTCAAGCCAATATAATTTTTATTCATTTTTCGACGCATGCTGATCCTTGTAAACCTCTTCGTGATGCCATTCTGTAAGTATCCGTTGACTTATTGGATTAAAGTGGTCACTACTGTTTACCCCAGCTAGTCGTCCATTCTTATGTAATGCTTGATATTTACAAAGCCATCGGCTAGAGCAATGTCTAAACCGTATGAAAAAGATGTACAGAGGATGCGAAGATATAGCCAGATTACAAAAATATCCATTTCATTCTACCATTTTAGGATGTAAACGCAGCCGGGTCTTCGGTTAGAAAACGTTCAGTAACCATCAACATGTTACGAAGGGCATCTCAAATCAAAGACCATCCCCGCGAATCAATTACTGGGGTGGAGCAACATCGTACGTCGACAAGCCTACATCCTGAGGACACAACTTTGGAACAAGACAGTCGGTCTTTTGTACAAGCCAAAGGTTTTCCTGAAACAATCACAGAAGAAGCTGAAGGAGAAATACGCCTCCAGACACGATCGGATATTGACAACGAGAAGAAAGACCCAATACAGCCAACAACAGAGTAGTGGGTTAAATCTGCAAGGAGCAGAATATGAGGGCTGGAGTCTAGCCTACCTATTAAGGTAGGACAAGGGGGTCGGGTGTTTGGGATATAACTGCAAATGAGGAAAACATTAGGAAAAACACATTTGTTTGCTCAGAAGTCAGATGAACATTATCTTCTTTTACAGCACTCCGAGCTATATATATATATATATATATATATATATATATATATAATACGTGAAGCTAGCGCAAATATGATCATGATCAAATAGAACGGTCGCATATAGCATTGAGAATGATCGAAGCAACCCATACTGTTAGAAAGGCATTGGACACTGTTCTAGGTCCTAAGTTTCATAGTAGCAGGCAACTAGAGTAATTAAAAGTTTTCAGAAAATCACTTCAAGTTACTACAACGGGACAGGACAACAACTTCTGTGGTGAAAATGACAAATGCCAGACGTTATTCGAAGGTAAACTTTGGACTCTGTACAAGTGAAACTGTTGGACACAACAAAGCCGTTAACAGGGAAAAAGGAAAAGTTTCGCACAGAACATACTACTTAGGGGTTTGCTGGAAACTATTCGATGGCCGCCATGTGAGTAATATGTTCGGTCATGAAAGTATGGTTCAAATCTCTAATATCGTATCGACTGGGACATGAGGTGATCTTCGTGCAGCGTAACCAGTTGAAGAATATCCTAAACGAGAGATTCGGCTGAAATACATCTGAGTGACCCGCTAACATCAACTCAGACGAGTGTAGTTCGAAGGTATCTGCACTTTTAACGACCAGTGGAAGTCCGTTTCTGCACTCCCATTATACATTGACTAAGATGCAGAGCAATAATTCAGCACTTGTTGGAGATTGGAAGTTGTGCACCCCATTCTACTCTTCTACTAATAATTGGACGAAAGCTTTTGTAAATGCAGAGCGTCATGGAAAAATGATGTGAAGTTTTCTTGTCAGAGGTTACCCCCAGTCATTGAAACGCTGTCTGTGCGACTATGAGCCAATGAATCACCGCCTCCGAACTCAGTATTGGGAATGACTCCCCGCGATCGCAACTAAATTCATTTATCGATTATGGAATTATCTTGCACAGTAGCCCTCTATGTATCGATAAGGACTTATTCAGCCAGGGAGGCTCTTGATGGCTTTATATTACCGTGTTCTGGGGTTATATTTACCAATCTGTCATCGACATGATTTGAGGACTAGATGTAGGCTGGGTAAAAACCATGTGTCAGCGGTTTGAAGCTGTTCACAGGTCATTAACTAACCGAGTTCCAAGGAACAACCATCCCTGGCGAGCGAAAACCTCTTAAGAGTAGCCTTCTCTCCATACTCACAGCACTGGCTCCTCTAAGTCTAAGGTGACCAGTGATGAAACACACACGTTTGTATGCGGTAGTGGCGGGCCATGAGGTCACAAGTTTATGTGGCTCTCCGCATACTTGTAATACTCTTATGCTTGGTAAATAGCATTGAGTGTTCACTGTTGCTACTGTTGTCGGAAACTTTGTGCCTGTTGTGCAAGTCTTGACTGTGCTAGCGCTTACACGACCTTCAGTTGCCAGGCCCCACACGCGTGTTTCCATACCACACAATCTTACATACGCTGGAATTCATCTCGTCCGACTCCTAATGGCATGTTTCCCTCCTGTAACACTTCCACGTCTATGGTTTCTACTGAATTCTCATGTTTGCGAGCATGCTCTCCAAGAGTAAACGATTATAATAGAGGAAACTACAAGTAGATATGGAAAGAGAAGGGATTGAGAAGTGAATGGGCCAGGAAGATGAGTGCGATACGACACTGGCAGACAAGTTTATAGAATGAACTTGGTCGTAGATTGATATGCTACGTATCTGGTGCCTACTTGTTTTGGGATCTTTAGTGACTGCAGCTGCAGGTTGAAATGGATTTTCTTAGTGAGAGGACCGAATTCTATTCCATTCAATGGATTATTAGGTTTGCTTTATAGACTGGCAGGCGGACTTATGGTCCTGAAGTAAGTAGCTTTCAACTGCTAAACAAAGGATCACACGATATCTTTACGTCCATCAAATGACCCCCATTAGGGACCGAGGACCGCATGTGACTGGGTCCCAAACGTGGGTTTAAACTAAGGATCGTTAAACTGAATAACAAGGGGCAGATCCGCAAGGTCTTATGAATATACATTTTGGAGAAGGTTGTAAGGTCCAGTAAAACAGTGATCTAAATGTACAGCCATTTAATTCGTGCAATATAGCTCCCCGCTTGCGTATGTATCAAAACATACCATCTTGAGCAAAGCGATTTTTACCCTTTCCGCAAACGGAAGACCTTTTTCCGAAGATTACACGCTAATTCGTGAATTGGTGGGTATGTTTTGTAAACTCTCCATGGGATATTATCCCCTGGAAGGATGTTCAGATTCTTTTGCATGGCTTAGGTATGAACTTGGTTGTAGCAGTTTTAAGAACAATGAGAGCTGTTCACAGGTCATTAACTAACCGAGTTTCAAGGAACAACCATCTCTGGCGAGCGAAAACCTCTTAAAAGGAGCCTCCTTTCCATACTCACAGAACTGGCTTCTCTAAGTCTAAGATGACCATTGATGAAACACACATGTTTGTATGCAGTAGTGGCGTGCCATGAAGTCAGAAGTTTATATGACTCTCCGCATAATTGTAATACTTTTATGCTTGGTAAATAGCACTGAGTGTTTACTGTTGCTACTGTTGTCGGAAACTTTGTGCCTGTTGTGCAAGTCTTGACTGTGCTACCGCTTACAAGACCTTCAGTTGCCAGGCCCCACACGCGTGTTTCCATACCACACAATCTTACATACGCTGGAATTCATCTCGTCCGACTCCTAATGGCATGTTTCCCTCCTGTAACACTTCCACGTCTATGGTTTCTACTGAATTCTCATGTTTGCGAGCATGCTCTCCAAGAGTAAACGATTATAATAGAGGAAACTACAAGTAGATATGGAAAGAGAAGGAATTGAGAGATGAATGGGCCAGGAAGATAAGTGCGACACGACACTGGCAGACAAGTTTATAGAATGAACTTGGTCGTAGATTGATATGATACGTATCTGGTGCCTACTTGTTTTGGAATCTTCAGTGGCTGCAGCTGCAGGTTGAAATGGATTTTCTCAGTGAGAGGACCGAATTCTATTCCATTTAATGGATTATTAGGTTTTCTTTATAGACTGGCAGACGGACTTATGGTCCTGAAGTAAGTAGCTTTCAACTGCTAAACAAAGGATCACACGATATCTTTACGTCCATCAAATGACCCCCATTAGGGACCGAGGACCGCATGTGACTGGGTCCCAAACGTGGGTTTAAACTAAGGATCGTTAAACTGAATAACAAGGGGCAGATCCGCAAGGTCTTATGAATATACATTTTGGAGAAGGTTGTAAGGTCCAGTAAAACAGTAATCTAAATGTACAGCCATTTAATTCGTGCAATATAGCTCCCCGCTTGCGTATGTATCAAAACATACCATCTTGAGCAAAGCGATTTTGACCCTTTCCGCAAAGGGAAGACCTTCTTTTTCCGAAGATTACACGCTAATTCGTGAATTGGTGGGTATGTTTTGTAAACTCTCCATGGGATATTATCCCCTGGAAGGATGTCCAGATTCTTTTGCATGGCTTAGGTATGAACTTGATTGTAGCAGTTTTACGAACAATGAGAGTTAAGCATAAAAGAACTCTACAGGGGAACATCCAATCACGTGATGTTGTCTTATCTTATCTGTTACTTTTTATTTCAGTGGGCTTTGCGTGCATAAAGAAGCTTTCAATATCGATGGAGTATTCGACTTTCTGCTGTTTGCATTATTATTCAAGCTTGGGAAAGTCAACTTTGAATTTCTACTTTTCTATCTCCAGTTTCGTAAAATTCCTAACCCCTTTATTATCTTTCTGAATACCTGCTGCATCCGATGCACCTAGCAGGTAATAACTTTTCACGCTTTCGTATTTATGCAATAAAAGTGCACTTCACTGTTGTTCTTTGTGTGCCGATGCAGGGTTTACCATTACAAGGACACTAATCTTTGAACAGGGTTGTGGAATCGAAAGTTGTACTATAAAAAATTTCACTCCGTAACAGTCCCATAAAAGCCCGTCGCTTAACTCTCCTGTACGCAGCAAGGATGTCCCGCCACATTAATTCCCACACGGTTTCGAGTGTATGTGATCACTTATTTGAATGCTGCTTCGTGTATCCTCTCCCAGCCTCCTTAGTGGTTGTCGTACTTACTATTTCATTCGTATTGTTGGGAACTAACGTTATCCAGACGGCTTTTTGCGGTCGACCAAAATCGCTCTATGGTGATCCAAGAATACATTAGATGAGAACATAACGATGTCCTGGATTCGGGTAAACCTGTATGTTACATCGCTTTTAACAGCAGAACAAGTACGGAAAATGTCCGAAAATGGCATCACCATGACAACACAGGTTTTCTTCTTAAACCGGAGAATGCTTTATAACTGTGCCAAATAAAAACGGGCCGCTGAATTGCAGACTTCAGTGAATCTGCGGCACATAGAAAGAAACCCTTTCATAGGAGGAGAGTAATAAGTTGATACGCAAAACGTATAATCAGTCCAGTCAAAGTAACGTTTTTTTCATTAGGGACCCCCTGCTTTTCGAGAAATACACCAATTTGCAAATCACTTTGGTTTTTACGAGAGACTTAACTGAATCTCTCGTTTGTGATATTCTACAACTGAATGTGCTGCACACTGGTCGCTTCAGTTGAGTCTCTCGTGAAAACCAAATTGATTTACAAATTAAGGTGCTTTTCAAAAACAGTGCAATTTAGGTTCAAGTAGATCATAAGGTTGACGGAAACTCGGGGACTGCCCCTACCTGATGAGCCCCAAGAACGGCGAAACCGGTCATGGGTTGTCGAAGAATTTTCAGCAACCTTGTGAGTAGTTTCCTTTATGAAAAGATCTGCTTTGTTTAATGATGAGTCCTTGTGATTTGGATGCATTGAGCAGTTGAGTACAAATCAGATGCAGATCGAATTAGTCGTCAAACGCCAGCACAGAATGAATCTGTCAAATTTTACTACAAGGTCAATATATATCCAACCGCAAAACGTTCGATATTACTGACATTTTCGCCTAAACTCAAACTGAACTCAAATGAATTCAGCCAAATCTTCCGTTGTTGATGATCTTGTTTGAAGTCGCATGCAGAATTCAGTCCAATTTGAATTCGAGCAAAAAATGCGGGTGAACAAAAACTCGGGGACTGCACCTACCTGATGCGCTCCAGGAACGGCGAAACCTGCCTCATGCAGTCCAATAGTTTTCACAAATCTTATGAGTAGTGTGTTACGTCTAGATAATTTGTTGTGATATCTCGAATATCGGAGCAACTAAGCGTGAGGCGGTCTCGTGCAGCACATTCCGTTGACGAAGATCATTATAAACTAGAGAATCAGCTGGATTCGACCCAGTGTCCCGTCAAAAACAAATTCTTATGCGGATGCGAGTATTTGGCGAATTGATCCTTCTGATTCGGCTGCAGTAACCAGAATCATAAATAGATGTCTGCGCGTATTAGGAGAGCCACAGATGGTTTGTGCTTAGATGAAGTTAACGCTACGCACAAGCTCTTGACGCCGATGTGGACTTGAGAATATAAGCTCACTTGTCATAGGCCATCCGCCAGGCTAAACACCATCGTATAACAATGGGCATCAGGAACAGCTTTTTTGATTTTCATCCAAATACAGGTGTCATCCATGGATTCCCTTGAGCTTTGACGTAATATCTCCCCTGCTTGAGTGTATCACTGAGATTTCGCCCATTAACTTATCATCAGGTGGTAACTGATAACAAGTCAATTTCTTTTCAACCCTCGGCTAATGAGTGTGTATGGAAGGTACTTATAGAAGACGAAATAACTTTACCCCGGGTCAAGGAGGTAACAATGCACAGATTGACCGGTGGGTACGCTGGGGACTAACCAAGCTGATACTACTAGAGCAGGCGTGTCTGCTTGTTGCGCAAGACCCAATGGGCTGTATTGTGGAAGTTGAGTCCATTCTGGATAACCGACTTGAGGTGATCGGTCGATCCTGCTTTGATAGCCATTCTCCAGGCTTTTCTACCGAGCATCTAGTTAGCCAGTGGTCTAAAACCAAGGTCAAAGTTTTTTTTCAAATTCACATGAAAGCAGTTCCAGTGATGTAATTTTTAACACTTAATCTCACATTTTATTCTCCAACTGACCGTATACAAGTTATTTTTGGACAGTATCTCCATTATTTGTTTCAAGTGATCTAACTGGACTGGTACCAGATTGTTTTCGACGTCAATAGTGCTTGCTTTTCGACTTCGATGATCCCAGGTGACTCAGAGTATTCTGCGCACACGATGCAAGTGCAGTCGGCCAGGAACCCGAACAAGTCATCCGTCTATCGTTGAGATCTTTCCGAAGTACAGTATTGGGGACAGTACAACAGTCCGATGAGCTGAAGTCTTGGTGTCTATGAGAAAGTGGCGACTGCACCAGACATCTTCCAAGACGAGCGCATGTCATGCTAGCTTTTACAATTCGTGCGCCTCTTAATTACCAAATAGTTAGTCTTAGAAGTACTCAGGTTTGGGCAAGAACGCGATAACGTTGAACTAAAGACCGTAGTCTATTGTCTTATTTTTGCTTCATGAATGAGAAAGTAAGGTGCAAACGTCCGCAATCAACAGTGCGGATGCCGGATTTGTTCAGAAGTGTTTTAGCCAGGAGAAGCTCCGAATCGATTAAATAACCATTCGAGTGGTATTAAATTAGTATGTCATTTTTCAGAGTATCAAAGCCAACTTGCAGCTGGCTGTTATGTAGAGGTTAAATATGGCTGAGACAGCAGCGTAAATTAGTCTAATTCCACTATCGATTTTGGGACTGTTCGAGATTGTGCATAGGTCCGTACCTGGATTTTCCTCCAACTACTTAATTTCATTCGCAATACGATGGGTTCTCTTTCCGGGTGCTTCTACTCTATCGTAGCCTGGGGCATTTCCCACGATCTAGGTTCCAAGCCGTATAAAACATTTCCCTCCTTTTTTTACTTTCCGTGCAATGTGCGAACGACGGTTTTCTTCGACCACTGAGCTTGAAAATAGGGGATAGTTTTAGGTGGCTTACCATCCCTTGGAATTCATGGTCGAATCTGTTGGATATGGGAGTGCGCCTTAGTCCTAGTTGGCAGGAAATAAGGCCTACAAATCTGACTCCAAGTAGTAGGGTGCATGGCAAGACCTTTGAAGATCACCGAACGCTTGACTTTTGGAAGTATCCTGACTGCTTTGGATAATGTGCCCGTTAACCTCGGGCAGAAACCACGGGATGGTACAACTTCTCTTAGTAGGGGGGACCGATCCTTTTTGGGCTTTTAGACATGACTGAACCCTAACGTTTTCTTGGAATCCTGTGTACCAAACAGGATCACTGAAGTACTAAAGCCAAATGAGGTGACTGATTTAGGACAAGATCCGTGTAGTTAGAGAGGGAGAAAGCCCCGTAAGCTCAAATACTCAGGGTTACACCATTAAATTCTGAGTAGCCATTTAGCATCTTAACAAGGAATTGGAGTAGTTTATGTGATGAGCTTTTTCGATCTCATTTTTTGTTGCAAAAAGGCGGGAAATGCAGATGGTTTGTTAGTAACAATGTTAAACTTCCAGCTACTCGGATATTTGGAGAAATGGTCACAAAAGCCACCTCAGTCACAAACTTTAGGTTTTCACGGATTCAGGGATGAGTACACAAGATCAAGGCTTTTGCTCAAGCTTTCAGGTTGCTGTTTATTTCTGGCACTCAGCGTAAGTAGCGTTTATCACCGCTCTTTGACTTCTCAGAGCTTGGCATCTAGCTTGTCCGCGCGAGGATTCGCATGAAAGTCATCTAAAAGTGTTCCAAATTGCCCTCTAGGTGCAGTGTGGACAAGCGTTGGGGGAAAGCTATTGTACGCACCAATTTTCCGAAATGAGAAAAATGTTCGTAATATAAGTCTGTGCTCTGAGCTGGAAAATCTTCTTATCAAGCCCTCGAGGTATAGTAGTTGGGTCAGTAGTAAGAACATCTATTGTCCAAACGTTGCTTAGACAAAGCGTAGGTAAGTAATTGTTTCCCTTGGAGGTGACCATACTCAAGAGTGCGAGCACCTCGAGATGCGTTTCATAATCAACGGATATGGGACCAGAAACCACCCACGGAACAGCTCACCGGATATACTAATTGGGAACTATATACCTTATATATATTATATATATATATGATTATGCAAGAAGGATATAGCCTTCTTGCATCCTGATTGAACAAATTAACTGATGTATTCAAGAAGCCATTTGACGTAGGCCCCTTAGAGTTTATGGAATTTCATGCGAGCACTGCGGGGCGAAGTTGTGCAGAATCATCTGTAGAATACTTTTTGGGTCGGTGTTATATGGTGAGTTGGGAAAAGTATGCCTGACGAGAGTCAGATGACTAAATACTTTTTGGTATCTGTCCTCGTAATGTTTTCTAATCCATTCTCATCCCACACAACAATGATGTTCGCTTAGTCTTCCCCTAACGACATATGGACACACTTTTTGACATTCAGAGGAAGGTCCCAGTCCAGTGATCTCTGCTTTGTAGCGGAGATCGTCCATTTGGAGGACGAAGGCATTGGTACCTCAGAAGTTCAGGTCTTGCGCGGGAATTAGACGTGAACTTGAAATTTCACTTGAAAATTCGTTTATATAAAGCAGATAGAGGAGTGGTCCAAAACCGAAGTCTAGAGGGAATTAGATGGAGACCGGTGGTTTGAAAAAGGGGAAGTTCAACATAACGTTCTAGCATTTGATGGTAATTATTCGGGCGCCTAAGATCTTCCC